CCATAAATCATCAACTTTTCAGTCCTGGTGTTAGCAAAAACTCTATAAAGGGTTACCAGAGCTTTATAGAAACATGTCTTATTTTAACTTTGGTCAAACAAACCAACTTTATATTCCTTCCTTTTACTTCTGACAGTCTTGAATCTTTAATTCATTCAGATGTTGTTGTAGCGTTTGGTCCCTGTTCAATTTTTCTTTTTCACATCCCAAAGGCGTCTTCAGAGCTTTAACAAACCTCTTTTGTAAATCCAGTAAAAAGTCATTATCGAGGTCATTCTCTTGGTTTGTCATGTATATTTCCACTTTGATTTTCAAAGCTTTAACCAACTTCTTTTGTATATCCAGTAGAAAGTCTTTATCCAGGTTATTCTCTTGGCTTGTCATGTGTTTCCACTTCAGCTGCCTTCTCTGTCATATAATTCACACTTTTTTTTGTTATCCAGTATTCCCATAAAAAGCTGTTTATTTTATATAATTATTTCCAAAATCTTATACAGGTAGTCCTCACTTAATGACCATTCATTCAGTGACTGTTCAAAGTTACGGCAGTGCTGAACAAATGATACTTACACTCGGTCCCCAAAGTTACAGCCATTGCAGCACCCCTGCAGACACATGATCAGAATTTGGGCACTTGGCAGCCTGCCTGCACTTACGACTTCAAGGGCACTTCAACTCCTCCCACCTGCCTATCTCCCCCATCTCTGCCCTTCTGGCCACCCTGCACAGCGGCACTCCTCGGCAGTGTCGGCAGTGCTGGAACTGAAGTAGAGCTCTGGCGCCTTCAGCAGTCTCAGCCAGCTGCCACCACTCCCAGGCCTCTGCTTCAGCCCCAGAGCCACCCCCGCTGCCAAAGAGTGCCACCTCAAGCCCCTCGCCACAGCCAGCCACCCCAGTGCCACAGCACAAAGCCACAACTGCCCCCGCTGCTCTGTGTTCCGCAAGCCCTGCCAGAGCACATGTGGGTAACATTCCGTCATCTCCTTGTCTGGAGAGGTTCCGAACTGGTCTAACTCGCCAATTCTTGATTTTTGCTGCAGTCATCGTCTCCGCTCTTTCGGAGACATGTTTAGTTCACCATGACTCCCCCGGAAGTCCCAGTATTGCTTTTCCCAGAGCCCAGGGCGCAACTGGGGATCTCTGGACCTATTATTCAAGCAAAGGAGCATGGATTAGCCAGAAGAGTCACATGCCGGTAATTGCTACCGTGTTCTAGATTTCTCAGTTGGAATTCTGGGCTGCCCTGCTGCCGGTGGATATTCACATTACTATTAAGTGATTTTCCCTCCAAGAGAAGGGAAAATCCCTTATTCCTTATTCCCACTTAATTGACTATGGTGTCAATTATCCCTTATCCCTTATTATTATTATTATCCCTTATCCCTTATTATTATTATTATCCCTTATCCCTTATTATTATTATTATCCCTTATCCCTTATCCCTTAATTGACTATGGTGTCAATTATCCCTTATCCCTTATTCCCACTTAATTGACTATGGTGTCTGGGAGAAGACTTCTGGTCCTGCGGCTATTACTTGCAGTCTTTGTGGATTGTTTTTGCGTGAATAATCGTTCATGCAAGCCAGCCCTTGCACTTTAGATTGATGTGAAGCAGAAATAAGAATGAGTCCTAATAGAAATATCTGCCAACAGCCAAGTATAATTACTCTTGCAAGGAATGGTACATTCAGATATAGGCATATCTTCTAATCTGTTCTCCTCGCTTGCCAGTGTGCTAGAAGAGGAGTCTTATCTGCTTTAATTTCATTTCATTAGAACTATTTCTGCTTCAAGAAAGATCTGACAGGGCTGTAAACATAAAGAAGCTTTGAATAGTTAATCTAAAAATCATACTTTAGCTGATTATTCTAGGTTGGTTTGTTTGGATTGGTTTGTAAAGTAGGGCTACAAATGAATCCCCTCATTGCTGTGCTCAAGGAAATATATATACAAAAGGATGAAGTTAAACTGAACATAGAAAATTGTTAAACTCAATTAAAGCAATATAAATACAAGCCATTGTGATGGTGATAGATTAATTTCTTTGTTTAATTGTCTCTGAAAAATAATAAGTAGCTTGCTCTTGAATTCAGAGATTGGTAATAGCTGTGGAAGAAGATGATTTTAAGCAAGGACACAAGGACAGCTTGTACATTTTGTATTTTAAGACAAGAGTTGATGTTCCCAATTGAGAAGACACTCCATTTTTTACAAATGTGAATCAGAAAGCTACATGTAGAAGTGGTATATTCTTAGCAGCTAAGAAATTATAAGAACAGCTTGCTTTACAGTACTGTTGCAAGGATTGTGATGCATGTGAAGCTTTAGAGGTCAAAGTGCTGTATAAATATTACATATTATTTAAAATCTCAGTTTTGCTGAGTTGGTGGGATTTTGTCTTTATTTTGTGTTGTGCTAAAGATGAGTGATAGTAGTGAAGAAGAGGAAGCCGTCATTGGTCCTATGCCAGCCAGGGGGTCAGTGGAATCCAACCCAGGTGCTGAGATTGAAGATCGGGCTCGGAGAATGAAAGAGAGGCTTCTGGGACATGTTGATGTGAGTTGGATGCATCATTTATGTTGCTTTTTCTCAAGTATCAATAGCTTTACACAGGCATTTCTTCCAAGCTGGTCTGTTCCTCATGGATACTTCCCAATTTTGTATCTTGCTAAAGGACGGCTCCAAACAAGCTAAAAGAGAGTCTTGGATGACAGATCTTCCACCAGAACTCAAAAACTTTGGCCTTGGTCCACGAACATTCAAAAGAAGACCCGATGATAAATCTGGAGATAGATCGGTTTGGACAGATACTCCGGCCGACAGAGAAAAGAAAGCTAATGTAAGCCTGTATTCCTATGTGCTTTGTCAGAGAGAATATTGTTCATTAATATTTGTGGGTTGGCATATTTGAACTCTGGAGGTAAATAGTTTTGGAGTAAATCAGGCTGTGCAGAGGTTCACTTGGACAAAAATTTGGGGTAAATAGGTCTGTGCAAAGCTTCACTTTGGAGACAGATGCCAATTCAGTCCAATTTCTGTATCTAATAAACCCACCAAATTGAAGCTTCAGATTGAATTAGATGTGTACACGTTGATTTGATTACTGTTTTTCCCCGATCAGTGCAGAAAAATCGGATACCCTCAATATGACTCTTTCAATTGAAAGGTCAAACTGAATTGGCTTAGGAATTCAAACCTGTTTGAATTGTCAGCAGAAATCCTGCTAAGGATTCAAATCAAATTAGAGGAGGTCAGCACAGCCACATAAATAAGCATTGCCAAAAAAGCAAGTTGAAGAGCATCATTAGCCTTCAACAAGCAAGGCCTCTCATTCCCTGTAGGGGAGAGAGAGAGATGGAATTTTAAAGAACGCCTCCCGCCCTGCTTCAGAGGGTTGATCCTGGAACGGTTAAAAAGGCAGAAATCTCTCAGCCCGAACCTTTGAGTCAACTCTAATTATACTGAGAGCGTACCTATACAGGTTGGCCTTTCTTTTTCCTGAAATAAGAGAAGGTGTACCTAGGCTGTGCAGTCACTATTTTCTACCAGGAGAAGCAAAACTGCCCTTGGGTCTCATGATTTGGGTGCCTTAAGATGTCATAAAGAATACCTCAATTAATCAAGACTCCCTTTTGATTTATGCATTTCTTTGGACTTCTGCTAACCCATCAATCTTCTTCTGTTCTTCAGGAACAGCAGGAGGCAAGAAAGTCCATCTCTAAGGACAATGCAGAAACTTTTCTCTCAGAGAGAGACAAAAGACTGGCTGAGCAGTTGTCCTCGTACAATGTAGGTGTCCTTTAATCTCTTTTTCCCCTTCCAGTGATGTTGGTTTCTGTGGAAACGTTTCTTCTGCTCAAACCTGTCTTTTCTGAAATCTCTTGTTGGTTTCAAAAATATCAAGACTGAGCCATAAACATTTTTTTTTCTGTGTTTCTATGGAAACATGTTCATACATACACTGCATTCTAGCAAAATTATTATTGAGATTCAAGTCACTAGTAGTACAACCATTGCTTGTACCTTAGCAATGTAAAAGGTAAGGTAAAGCTTTTGCCCCTTCATGGATCACTGCCCCTTCATGGACCACTGCCTTGTCATGGCGAAGGGGCTTGCGTAACTCAGTGAAGCCATGAGCTATACCGTGCAAGGCCACCCAAGACGGACAGGTCATGACAGAA